ATTTCCAATGAACAAAAGGAGGTTGCAAAGTTACGACGTGGCCACCGTCATTCACTTCATGTTCTGTTTTTTTTTTCAAGATTTGATATATATATATATATATATATATATATATATATATGAAAGAAAAAATAGCAAAATAAAAACACTTCCCAACGCAGTAAGTTAAAGTGCTCAATGCCTAGACTATTTAGAGAGAGCAAGAAACGCATCACGACATGAACGTGTATATATATATATATATATATATATATATATATATATATATATATTATATTAATTAATGTTCTGGTTGCTGGTCTATAGTTTATATACACCACGTATATAATACGTTAAAAGCCGATAGCATAGTGCTAGAGTCTGTGTCTGATGCCAGATCGGTCGAGTTTCGATCTCGATTTGAGGCTATCGGATGTCTAATCACACTGATGAGCTGTGATATAGCGAAGCACGATGTCTGTGGATAACTTGCTCTCGTTCACCGATTGAGCACTTTGAAGAAAGGGAATTTTTACCAGCTGCTGCTCCTGCATAACATAATTTCAGGAGCAGATATAACGTCATCCACAGACAGACTGTTTCGCTGTTTACAGCTCATCAGTATATATATATATATATATATATATATATATATATATATATATATTTGGTTGGATTGATGTGAGTTTGTGACCCTGGGTTTCACGCTTGAGCGATCGTTTGTCTGACGATCGCTAAAGCGTGAAACCCAGGTCAAAACTCACATCTATCCAACTCTATCTCTGATATTGACCGCTTTCTAATAAGTACCGCGCATATAATATATAAATAATTATACATATATATATATTTATTTATATTTATATACACTTTTCACACACACACACACACATATATATATATATATATATATATGAATATTTATATATATATATATATATATATATATATATATATATATATATATATATATATATATATATATATATATATATATATATATATATATATGTACACAGTTAAAGTGAGGATGGTGTCTGAATACGTAGTCTTTTGTTAATCATTTTTAAAAAAATAATGAAACCAGATTTTACACAAAAAATGCTAAAGACGTTTGGACTCCTCCCCGGATTCCCAAGAAAGAAAAAACGCGCCAATAATGTTCAGCCTAGAACTGGAAATGAGAAGTTTGAAGAAACGGAACAAATGAGTCCAAAAAACGGGGCTAAATAGCATTGGATGAAAAGCGAGAAAAACTATATGAGTCGGGGACACTATCAGGCAAAGAAAACGACTAATTTGCTCCGGTGAAGTCTTTTTCGATTCTCTCCCTTGTTTGCTCCGATTGGTTGACAATGACGGAGTTATTTTTGCTGGTGGATATTCTATTTAACTTCATCCTATGCCGGAAATTATTCCATTTAAGTTAACCGGTGTTAGCCGTATTCTTGGCATTGTTCATTTATTGCCATTATATTTTTATTCGCTTTTTGTTCTTTCACGTTTAATTAGTCAAAATTTCATTTCCCTTATTTTATGTCCCCTCACTATTTTCATTCTCTTTTCTTTCCCCTTTATTGCCATCTGTTTAGTTTTGTTCTTTCTCCCTTTGTGATTCTTGGTTCTCTGATATCTCTAGTTTTCTTGATAGTTCTTAATGAATTTATGTTTCTACGTTTTATATTTTTGTAAGAGAAAAACGTAAGTGACTATTGAAGAGAAATTAATGGTGACATCTTTGCAGACTTGCTTCTTTCTTTTCTTATTTTCTCTTTTTTTTATTCTCTTTTTTCTTTATTCTTCATCTATAGGCTTTTTTTGTTTTTTTTTGTTTTTATTCCATTTTGCTTTTCTTCTTCATCATTTGATTACATTTATCTTTCTTCATTTTCGTTTCTTTTTCTTTTCTTTCATTTTCTTTTATTGTTTTTCTTTTCCTTCATCTTCTTTTTTTCTTTTAGGTCGTCATCTCTCATTTTGCTTCTTTCTTTTCTTTTCTTTCGTCATCATTTTTCATTATATTCATTATTTATTATATTATCGTCTTTTTTTTCTTTTTTCTACATTTTTAACCATCGTTTTTTTCTTCTTTTTCCTTCGTCTTCTTTTGATTCTTCTTATTTTTCTTTCTTTTCTTTTTTTCAACTTTCATTTTCCGTAGTATTTTTTTGAATTCTTTTTTTCTTTGTCATATTTCTCATTTTCCTTCGATTTTTTTAAAAAAATTATTGTTGTATTTTTCATCATATTTTCTCTTTTCCATAGTCATCTGTTTCTTCTCTTTGCTTGTGTTCATTTTATTTCACTTTAAATTTATTCATTTTTTTTTTTATTGACGTTATTTTTTTCTCTCTTATCTCTTTTCCTCGGCATTTGTGCATTTGTTTTACTCATCTCACTTCATCACCACCAGTTCCGTCTTTCAATGTCCTTCATTTTCATTTATTTTCCACAGCTATTTGTTTTCTTTAACATTTCTTTTTTTTCTTCATCCTTCATCATTATCATCACCATCATCATCATCGTAATCATCATCATCATAAACATCGTCATCCACATCGTCATCATCATCATCGTCGTCATCATTATCAGCATTATCATCAACAACGTCATCATCACCGTCATCATTGTCGTCATCTTCATCAACTCGTCCTGGGTATGACGATAAACTACATTCGCATCCTGGGTCAGACGATAAACTACGTCCAACAGCAAGGCCTCTGATCAGGAGATTTCGAGGATTATAGGACCACCTCTCAATTGCTGGTGTTCTCCGGTCCACCCGGACCTGTGGTGGTAGCACCTGTTAGGGTCCCAGCTATGGACAAATAGTTAACCCTTCAAGCTGCGGTCAAAACACTATGAAAGTATAAAAATCGGTTTTAATACCGAAAATACTTTGTAAAAATAAATTATTACCAGCGATGTTTTTTTTTAAAATATTACCAGCGATAGATTTTTGAAAAAATATACACCAGCGAAAGATTTTTTAAAAAAAAATAATACCAGCGATAGATTTTTGAAAAAAATATTACAAACAAAACATTTTTGAAGGAAAATTATTATCCGGAAATAGATTTTTGAAAAAAAAAATAACCAGAATTAGATTTTTGAAAAAAAAAAATTACCAGCAGTAAAAATTTTGTCGGTATTAAATAATCCATTGACGTTGATTTGCCGTAAAACAAACCAAACCAAACTAAATCATCATCATCATCTTCATCAACATCATCATCATCATCTTCATCAAAATCATCATCATCATCATCATCATCATCATCATCATCATCATCATCATCATCATCATCATCATCATCATCATCATCATCATCATCGATTTCAATCATTTTTTGCTCTCCTTTTATGCTCCTTCCAAAGTTCAACCTCCTTTTAAAAATTCATTTCCTCTTTAATCGTACTGCCCTTTTTATTTTTGCATCAGGACCCTCCTCCTCATCTCTAACAGGATCTCTTGTCTCATCTTTCTTCTTATACTGCATTTCGTTTACCTGTTTTTCAATTCCTTTCTCTTAAACCTCGCCACCTCATTCCTTCATCTTCATCACCAGAATAATCCACATTTTCTTAATTTCTCGCTCCCTTTAACCTTTTTTTTGTTGTTTTCCTCAGTTTACATCTGTCGTCCATGCCAATTATTTCTTTCTTGTATTCCGCCTTCGTCTTCTCAATAATTTTCCGTATTTTACCTCACCACCTATTTTATCCCAATATATACAAGAGAACAAGATCCATTCATTCTTTACTCTTGTCTTAAATTTAATAGTATACCCTTCCAACCCACGTTCTGTTTATCAAGCAGAAAACTAAGTAGAGGATTGATAAGAGAGTGATAGATAGATAGATAGATAGATAGATAGAGAGAGAGAGAGAGAGAGAGAGAGAGAGAGAGGACAAGGAGAAAGAATGGGGGACAGGGAGAGAGAGAGAGGCACAGGGATAAACAGAGTGACAGGGACAGAGTGAGAAGGGGGCAGAAACAGAGTCAGAGTAAGAGAGAGGCAAAGGCAGCAACGGAGAGAGAGAGAGAGAATGACAGAAACAGAGACATATAAAGAGAGACATATACAGAGGGAGAGAGAAAGAGAGAAGCAGACAGAGAAAGCGAGACACAGATACAGAGATACAGAGAGTGACAGGGACAGACAGAGACAGAGACACACACATAGAGACAGAAAAAGAGAGAGACAGTTAGATACAGAGATAGAGAAACAGGGACAGAAACAAAAAGAGACAGATACAGAGAGAGAAAGAGAGTAAGAGAGAGAGAGAAATGGAGAGAGAGAGGAGCGAGAAATAAACAGACACAGAGAAAGAGAGAGATAATGAGTGATAGAGCAAGACAGTCGAAAGTGTGGACGATCCAGTACGTATACAACCACATCCCAAATAGTTTTTTAATGAACACTGAATCAAATTGGACAGACTCTCTCTGTTGGCAGATGAATGGACCATTCAGTTCTTGCAAGCCTCGTAGCACACAAAAGATGTAGATCCGCACAATAGAACAGAAAAAGCAAAAAGCGCTCAAGATTCGAACGCTGAATTTGATTAGCGAACCAAGGAAGCCAATAATCTTTTTAATTAATTCCATTCTGCCGAGTGAATGCATAAGTCCGCCATCTTTAATTAAATTCGTGTGACAATGAAGTCGTCCATCCCCATGTAACATTGGCAGACAAAATGGCCGAATATCCCTAGCAAGTGTTTCAGCGTATTTACGTGGCCCGGATGAAATAAAATGGACGCTTTTTACATTAGTTAGAAGATCCACAAGGCGATGACAGGAAAATCTGATCAGCCCACGTCGGCATTTTATTAAAATTTAACTATTTGCTGTTGACTCTGATCATTGAGATACATCCTGTATTTATTTCACTAATTGATGTTTTGTTGATTTTCTTTCTTTCTTTCTTTCTTTCTTTCTTTCTTTTTTTGTATTGCCTACTGTTTTTCGTTGACACTGCGCATTGAGTTACATCCTTAATTTGTTTCGCTAATTGATGTATCGTTTATTGTTTTCGTTCTCTCTCTATCTTTCATTCATTCATTCATTATTTCTTTCTTTCTTTCTTTCTTTCTTTCTTTCTTTCATTCTTTGTTTGTTTGTTTTTTTCTTTCTTTCTTTCTTATTTATTTATCCTTTTCCCTAAAATAACTTGTCATTTCTTTTCTTTCTTGTGTACATTTTCTTTCGTTTTTTTTCTTTCTGTTTTTAATTATTTTTCTAGATTTTTCTTTCTTCCTTTCTTTAATTCTTTGTCTTTTTATTTTCCCTTCATTTTCTCTCTTTTTTTTCCTTTTCTTTCTTTCTTTCTTTCTTTCTTTCTTTCTTTCTTTGTATTGCCTACTGTTCTTTCTTGACACCACTCATTGAGATACATCCTTAATTTGTTCCTCTAATTGATGTATCTCTCAGAGTTTCCTTTTTCTTCCTTTCTTTGATTCTTTCTTTGTTTCTCTCTTTCTTATTCTATCCCTCTCTTCCTTTTTTCTTTCGTTGTCTTTTATTCCTTATTTCTCTATTCTCTTCTGTCTTTCCTACAACAACTTGTTATTTTTTCTTCTTGTACATCACTTTTCTATTGTTGTTTTTTTTTTCTTGTGCTTGCCTTTTTTTCTTTAGTTTTTTTCTTTCTTTTTGTTTTTAATTAATTTCTATTTCTAGAATGTTTTTCTTTCTTCCTTTGGGTTATTCTTTTTTCTTCTGCATTTGAGTTTTCGTTTCCTTTTCTCTTCTTTTTCGTTATTATTTCTTTCTCGTTTTTTTCCTTCTTTCTTTTTATTTCCTACTGTTTTCACTTGACTCTGTTTATTGAGAGACATCATTCATTAGTTTCGCCAACTGATGTATCATTTATCGGTTGCTTTCTTTTTCTTTCTTTCTTTCTTTCTTTCTTTCTTGTTTTCTTTCTTTCTTTTTTCCTCTTTTTTTCTTTCCTTCTTTGTTCTTTTCGTATGTCTCTATTCTTTCCATCTTTTCTATGATTTTTTTTTTAAGCATTACGCCCCAAGCAAGGCGTGAAGCCACTAGGATGCAGGGGGTTGCGGAAGATTTGGAGCGAGAGTAGAGAGTGATAGGAGAAAGGAAGAGGAGAAGGATAGTGGGTAGATCAAGGTAATTGGAGATGTCGATTGACATTACATTTAAATAGTTGGAGATTATAGCTTTCAGGGAAACAGTAATTGGGGAGGGTGTTCCACTGGCGAGAGGTGCGAGGTATGAAGCTATTGGAGTAGAAGAGACGGCTACATTTGAAGGTTTCTACGGTGTAAGGTGAGAGCAGGATGCCAGCCTCGTGGGCGCTTGAATTCATGGAGTCTGGGAACCAGAGAGAGCAGCTCATCAGAGCAGTTACCATGGAAGTATTTGTAGAAAAGACAGAGAGAGGCGACGGCGCGTCTGTGAGAGAGTGACTGCAAACAAGACGCTAGATCAGGGCCAATTAGATTACATATCCGTCTCTGAATCTTGTCAAGAACTCCGAGGTAAGCAGAAGGTGCTCCAACCCATATATGGCAGCAATACTCCATGCAAGGGCGAATGGTTGTTTTGTATATTTGAAGTATCGATTCGGGGGAGAAAATTCTCATTTTTCTATATTTTTTTTTCGCTTTCTATCCTTTTTACTTCTATTACTTTTCTATCGTTTTCAATTTATTTTTGCTTAAATTAATTCATTTTTTAACATGTTTCGGCTTTTTCTTTTATTCTTTCTTTCACTTTTGACTTTTATTTTCTCTTTTTACTTCCCCGTTCTTTTTTCTTTCCTTGCCTTTTATATTCTCTATTTTCTCTTAGTTATTTTTCGTTCGCTTTTTCTTTCTTGTGTTTTCTGTTTTTTTTTTCTCTTTCTATCGTTTTTTCTTCTCTTCTATCATTTTCTATTTCTTTCTGATTTTAATTAATTCTTTCTACATCATATTCTTTGTTTCTTTTATGCTTTCTTTTTTTCTACTACTGTTTTCGTTAAATCTTTCTTTCTTTTGTCTTCTTTCTTGTTTCTCTCTTCTCTTCCATCTTTCCTACAATTACTTGTCATTGTTTTTTCTTTCTTTCTTCACTTTTCCTTTTTCTGTTGTTTTTTTTTCTTTTTATCCTTTTTTGTATAATTTCCTATTGCCTTTCGTTTTTAATTAGATTATGTTTTTGATTTTAAAATCTTTTCTTTCAGGCTTTCTTTTATTCTTTTTCTTTTTCTTTTGAATTTTCGTTTATCTTTTGTCTTTTTCTTTCTTTTCTTTCTTTCTTTCTTTTTTCTTTCTTTCTTTCTTTCTCATTTTCGCTATTTCACTATTCTCCTTCATCGTTCCTACAATTTATTGTCCTTCTTTATTTTTCGTGTTTTCCTTCTTTTTTTCTATTGTTTTTTTATCTCTTTTTAAGTTTACATTATGTTTAAGCCTCTATATATTTACTTCTTTTATACAATTTCCTAATTCATTCATTTTTCTCGATCTTATTTCTTTCATTCATTCTTTCTTTCTCTTTTGCCTTTTCTTTTTCTTTCCTATTTTTCTCTTTCTTTCTTTATAATGCCTACTGTTTTACATAAACGCTTTGTTTCTTCCGAATTCTCTTTATTTCTTTCCTCGTCAAGTCTTTCAATATACAGCTCACTTCACATATTCTCTATATAATATTTTAATGTAGTACGTGCGGTGGAATAGTCGGGCTATTATTTAATTTAAATTCTGAAAATGTAATGAAACACTACACAAATTAATTGAAACAACCGCTTTAGTTTCCTTTCTTTCGCCATACGGTCAGTTTTAGCCTGGTGTGACAGAGTTTAATCGTTTTTTATTTTGTTTTTTTTTTCTTCAGATTAGGTCATTTTCAGTGGTGTCCAGTAACATAATTTTATTTTCGGGGTGCATTGTGAAATTTGTTTAGCCTTGAAAAATATTGCGTCATGCGTGATTGCATCAGATTTTTATCACACCCAAGCACTATTGTCTCCATTGTCGATTAGTTGTCCTACGGCTATTGTCTGCGATGGACGTTACTCGAAGGAAGCATAAAAAATTGTAAGGCTGCACGAACATACTGGCAAGCATTACCAGTGAGCAAATCAAAGTACTATAGACTGGACCGGAAACTCTCCTGATTTAAATCCAATCGAGAATCTGTGGTCAGTCTGCAAGGAATTTGTGGAATGGACATACGATGTAATAATGTGTACGTTCGGTCATGTTTCATTGGAAAGATAAGAAAAAACAGTTAATAATAAAGGAATTATTCATTTTCTTTCAGTTAATTTGCACAAGGGTGTATATGTAACTTAATACGTTAAGCTGCTGCAATGTGTCCATAGAAGTTTCGTCAAAAAGCAACTTATGGTCGTCAAGCGGAAAAAATGATTTCTTCCAACATGACATCGAAAGGCTGAATAGGGCAAAAAAAAAATATAGGGACAAATTTGAAATTCGCTTGGTCTGTTCTACCCCACCTGCCATATTCACCTGATCTAGCAATCATTTATTACCTTTTTTGATCATTAGAAAATGAGTTGATATGAAAAACATTCTATTATCAAAACAAATAATGTCGTATCCTTGAAAATAAACGGAATCAATGGAGTTTACCAACCAGGATACCTATACGGAAATGTGGATCTCCACTAAGTCCCATAATTTCGCAGTTCTCAACAACTACTTTCCAGTTATCAATATATTATTAACCCTTATCTACCTACCAATTATAGTATCATATCTACCCATGAATGTCTTCAAATATTAAAAACAACACAACGAAACCAAGACATTTCATGGTCACTTGATGTAGAAAATTTATTCACAAATGTCTCTGTTGACGAATCCATCGATAAAATCTTTAACTCTGCCTATAACTCGATTTAATTTTCTTAATATATTCAGGCTATTACTGCACGCCTGCACACCTAAATGCCTCTTTCGTCGACCACGCTGACAATATTTATACCATAAATTAATGGCGTTAGTATGGAAAATACAATTGGACTGCTACATCTTCCATGTTGAAAAAAGGTGTTTACAAAAAAAATGTTTCTAAACCTAAATTTCCGCTATGTAGATCATATTCTTATTCTAGCTGAAGGCAAAGAAGAAAGTGATGGTCTCAAAGCTCCATTTGAAAAGAAATATACCCTTAACTTTACTCATGCTCTTAGTCAAAAAAAATATCCCATTCTTAGATATTCTTGTAGGATCTAGTAATAGAACATTCAAAATTTCTTTATACAAAAAAAAAAAAAAAAAAAAGAAGTAGAAAATCTTGCCACCTTAATTTTACTAGTGAATACTTCCATCAAGTATTCCCGGTAAATTCATGATACCGTAGCTTGTGTGATATGTACCCTCACAGTTCCAAAAATCGAATGTCTCGACCGTCTTGCGTGCACCATCATGGCTCATACAAACAATGATAAGCCACGTTTACTTACGTTTAGAAACCTCGCAGGTGTTCATACTGACTCACCAAGCGCGCAACCGATATAGGTCTGGTCATTTCGATGACATCAACGTACGGGGGCGCCAACTACAATTATCTTTACATATTGCAATACACCTCTGACATCTTCTAACTTCTAACTATCTCATGACTTCTGTCGCTTCATATTGCAATCTCTTGACCTTTGTCGCTTTGAGGGTACAAATTAGATCTCATTGAGATGTTGGAAGTCTCCTTAGTTTCAATCTTTTGTAACCATTCCATTTTAAACTCAATAATGGCGTTCCTGTTAAACATTGAAAGTAATATTTTATGCATCTGTCTATATTTCTGAGATGAGGTATTATGCATACTATTTACATTATTCGGACTATTGTCCTCATCTTTGTCGCCATACTTATTACAACGTTTCGGCCGTTGTACACTCTGGCCTTCTTCAGGTGATTGGAATGTTAAAGTGAAGGAGAGAGAAGGAAGATCACCGCCCTCTGTCGGATCAGGTTGAGATCATAGACAAAGAACACAATTGGAAAATTCGTAAACTTAAGGTATCAGCACATACGCTAGGCCACAAAAATCTCCTGAGCCGAACAAGCATAGAAATGAATACAAAATGGGAACGAGTAATAAGGTGTGCCAGAGAAAAGCAATAATAACAACAAAAATTGAAATATGAGCTCTGGTAAAAAACATGCATGATAACAGCAAAAATTGGTTTATGAACAATGGTAAAAAGTGATTGCTGAGTTTATAATACCCAGAAATTCATGCAAAGATTTCCTCAAGGACACATGGCACAGAGGATAAAGGCATTGGTTAGAACCAGTGACAGGACCCAAAGCGTGTGAGTTCAATACCTGCTTAAGACAGTCAAGAACTTGGAGAGGGGAATTAACAGGAGATAACTGATAAGTGACATCCATTAAACATGGCACGTGGAAATAGAACAGTCTACCCCAGTGAGCGAAATAAACGGTCCAGTTCGACATTCCAACCACCTGAAGAAGTCCGGAGCACACAACGGCCGGAACGTTGTAATAAGTATGGCGACAAAGATGAGGACAATAGTCCGAATAATGTAAATAGTCTAATATTTTATGATTATTTTTTTATTATACTTATGTTTATGTGAAACTGATTTTCAACGTTTCCCCTATGTTCTTCAGTCGACCAATGGATTTGTCTGATTCTTCAAGCAATTAGGAGCTCTGCTTTCTTCAATGCAATTTACTGAGAATTTTCTAATCTCGGAGCTGCACAGTTTTGTACAGTCTAAATAATTTGCGTTCTCATATTAAAAAAAAAAAAGTAAATAATGAGATTTTGCTTCATACGCCAGTTTTTTAATATGTATCTATTATATTTAGACCTATTTGCCTAATTTTATTTTCTTTGGCATTTTTTGAATATCTAACCTTTATTGGTGCAACCAGATACGCCATTATAATTTGGGCCACGGAAATATCTCTTTGTTTAACGATAAAATGCATTGTTTGCCACTATTATTATCAACCATCTAATCAGGTACATACCGCATTCAAACCTTTTTATTCTTAATCCTTCACATTGCATTCTAAGTGTTGCATCGTCTCCTTTCTAATTTTCCTTTCAATTCCTTCTTTGTTTTTCTTTCTTTCTTTCTTTCTTGTATTAGGTTGGTGCAAAAATAATGTCGTTTTTTGACGTTAAGTTGAAAGTCAAAAACGACATTATTTTTTTTAACTCTTTATAGCTTTCTCTTCGTGTTTCTTATTTTTCATTCTATGTTTTTATTAATCTAAACTTTCTTCTTTCTTATTTTCTCTTTCTGTTTTTTTTTTCTTTCTCTGTTTACACTTGTCTTTCTTTCTCTCTTTTATTCTACATTTTTTCGTCTTTTTCATTTTCTTATTTATGCTTTAATTTTTTTCGTTTCTGTTCTACTTTTTTTACACTTCTTCCTCTTCATTCTTTTCGTCCTTTCTTCGTTTCATTTTTTTCTCTTTCTTTTAACTGTTTAATTTTCCTTCTTGTTTCTTATTTTTTTTCTTTTCCCTTATTAAAATGATTTTCTCTTCATGCTTTTATTTTCAATATTTCGTTTTTTTTTTGTTTTGTCTTCTTCCTTGCAGCTGCTTTTATCTTCTCTTCGTTTTTATTATTTTTTCGTTTTCATTGGTTAATATGTTATTCATGTTTATTTATTCTATTGTTTTATTTCGGACTTTACTATCTTTTATATTTCTTTCATTTCTTTCTTTCCTTATTGATTTCTTTCCTTCTGTTCTTTCCATTCCTTCATTTTTCTTTTTTCCTTTCTTTTATATATTTTCCATTTTCTTATTTTCTCTTAGTTTTCTTTTTCATTTTTTAATATGCTATTATTTTTTTTCATTATATTCTATTTTTTTATTTCTGTCTTTACTATTTTTTATTCCATTATTTTCTTTTTTTTTCGTTCTTTCTTTCTTTTCTTTTTCTTTCGTTCTTTTTCTTTCTTTCTTTTATATATTTTCCACTCTCTTTTCTCTTAGTTTTCTTTTTCATTTGTTAATATGCTATTATTTTTTATTCATTTTGTTCTATTTTTTCACTTCTGTTCTTACGATTTTTTATTTCCATATTTTCATTTTTTTCGTTCTTTCTATCTTCTTTCTTTCTTTTCTTTTCTTTTTTATTTCGTTCTTTTTCTTTCTTTCTTTTATCTATTTTCCATTCTCTTCTTTCTATCTTCTTTCTTTCTTTTCTTTTCGTTTCTTTCTTTTCTTTTTCTTTCTTTCTTTTATCTATTTTCCATTCTCTTCTTTCTATCTTCTTTCTTTCTTTTCTTTTCGTTTCTTTCTTTTCTTTTTCTTTCTTTCTTTTATCTATTTTCCATTCTCTTCTTTCTATCTTCTTTCTTTCTTTTCTTTTCGTTTCTTTCTTTTCTTTTTCTTTTTTTCTTTTATCTATTTTCCATTCTCTTCTTTCTATCTTCTTTCTTTCTTTTCTTTTCGTTTCTTTCTTTTCTTTTTCTTTCTTTCTTTTATCTATTTTCCATTCTCTTTTTTTGTTCATTATTTTTCTTTTTCATTTATTAATGTCTTATTTTTAAAATTATTTTGTATAGTTTTATAGCTCTTGATTATTCTCTATAATTCATTCTTTCTTTTCTTTCTTTCTTTCCTTCTCTCTTTCTTATGTTTCTGTTCGTTTTTACTTTTTTTTCCTTCCTTGTTTTCATTTCTATCTATCTTTCTTCTCTCTTCTTTCTTGAATCTTTTACGAACTGATCTTTCGACATCTTATCTTTATTGTATAAACTGAAACAAGAATTTCTTGTTTTTTACGAACAATACTTCAACATCATACACTGTAACTTAGACCAACTGATGGCGCGATAACGTATTTTATTGTATAAAGTGAAACTCCGACATTGTTTCTTTTACGAACTGATCTGATACTTCGACAAGATATTTTTATAATATAAACTAATACCACAACATATTGTCTTTCGTTGTCTAACCGTTTTACTTTTAACATAATATATATGTCAGGTATTATTTCGAAGAGATAAATAAAAATGAAGAAAACAAGTTTATACATATTTTTCAAAATGACACCTCTATCCAAGACGTATGTAGATTATGGCATTCAACAGATTCCTTTCCATTGGAATTTGATAATTTTTTCAGTGCATGGCCATGACTGCTTGATAGTGTAGAGGTTCCCAGTTATCTTTTCCATTTTTTGATATTTCCTTCTCTCACGCGAGGCTCGAGCGTCCAGTCTACACTATTGAATTCATAGGTTTTAATGAAAAATCCACTTTTCCAAGATTCTGAGTGGATAAAATTTGAAATGGTTTCCAATTACCTTCCTCTAGGTTGGTTGAAATTCGTGGTTAAATCGCCTAGTCTATCGTGCAATTTAATCCATAGTTTGGAGTAAAAGGACGAATTTATGACAGTTCCAAGAGTATTGATGCGAAAGTGAAAACAACATACTCGGACCGTATTTGAAATCGTCGCGAAAATTCCATTTCTTGCACCGATAACTGCAACACAACCCGTATTTATTAATATTGCCAAGTTTATTAAATCATCTACGCACGTCTAAGAATAAACAATTATCATATCATAGAATTTACCATAATACTGTCAAATCAATTCAACTGTATACATGTAACGTTTCCGTCTAAAAATCTGAACATTAATTCGGTATTTATTGAATTTTTTTCCTCAATAGGAAAAGATAAGTTTGCCTATCGCCCTGTTCACACTTCCACGCGATATTTTGAACAGGAGTACAAGTTTATCGCTTGCTTCCTGTTTAGGGTTAGGTTTCCCGTTAATTTTACAGTCTACTTCAACTCTATAATTCTAACGTATTCACATGAACTCTGAAATGTTATTCACGAATTGATTTTTTTTCTCGTCAGAAGGAGTAGATAGGTTCGCCTATTGTCTGATTCACACTCTTCCCCGTTCTTTTGGCCAGGATTAGAAGGTTTATCCCTTGTTTCCTGTTTAGGATAGGTATCAGTTTGTTTGCGGTGGTGCCTCTCAATCTGTAATTCTCTATCTCAAGTAGCTCTTGAGCCTTTTGCGGAGCCAACATATTTGCAAAAAAATTAAGTTATATATATATATATTCATACATGTTACATTAAATAATATAGACAAGTGTTGTCTATTTATTTTATGTAAATTCTTTTCATAACGTCTGATAAGCTTAATAACATTATCATTAAACGAAGAAAGAAAATCACAATATTGATCCATATTTTTTAATCCAATCTAAGCTTTCGGCTTACATAAGCCATTATCAAAAATGTCAATTACTGTACAATATATTAAGCAATATACGGACAAGACAGTGATGATAGTCTGTGATTGTTTATATTATTTAATGAAACATGTATGAATGAAAAATGCTGTTTAAATACACACACATATATATATATATATATATATATATATATATATATATATATATATATATATATATTTATTTAATAATTATAATATTAAAATATGTAACTTAATCTGTTTATTATATAAATTAATTTTTATTATATAACTTAAGTAATTTTTTTATATATAACTTATTATATATACATATATATATGTGTGTGTGTGAGAGAGAGACGACTAATGCCAAACAATTCCAAGACAGCGGTATTAGATAAATTCTAAACAACTTTCTTGTCAAAAAATTAAAATTTCAGGAATCGTGCTGTGGAGTGATATGGTATTGGTGAATTCTCTGCTTCAATGTGTTTACTTGGCAAGCGGAACATACGGATTACGAAAAAATGTTTTATTTCACAAGATAAATTATGACTACAAAAAAATAAAAATCAAAAATAAGGCGATATATCGGAGATTTAAAAATGTACATTTTTTTTCAAATTGATTTCTTTATGTGCTTTCTTATCTACTTAGATATCAGGCTGAAACTGTGAATGGAAAATTTCTGTTTTTAAGTCATAAATGATATCAGAGCGACATTCTTTATTTAGAGGAAACACTTCCAGCTTCATTCTCCATTTTTTTCCTTTTTTGATTCACAGAAAAACACTTTCTTTCAATAAATAATTTCACAAAATA